CTTACCAAGAGAACAGCACAGGTGAGAAATATATTTTTTATATATCCTCTGCCAGAAGTTTGTATAATGCTTCAAGTTATTCACTGGTTGGTGTCACCCTAGTTAACACTGGCACTGGTGGCACTCTAGTTAACACTGGCACTGGTGGCACTCTAGTTAACACTGGCACTAATGGCACCCTAGTTAACACTGGCACTGGTGGCACTCTAGTTAACACTGGCACTGGTGGCACTCTAGTTAACACTGGCACTGGTGGCACCCTAGTTAACACTGGCACTGGTGGCACTCTAGTTAACACTGGCACTAATGGCACCCTAGTTAACACTGGCACTGGTGGCACTCTAGTTAACACTGGCACTGGTGGCACTCTAGTTAACACTGGCACTGGTGGCACCCTAGTTAACACTGGCACTGGTGGCACTCTAGTTAACACTGGCACTGGTGGCACTCTAGTTAACACTGGAACTAATGGCACCCTAGTTAACACTGGCACTGGTGGCACTCTAGTCAACACTGGCACTGATGGGACCCTAGTTAACACTGGCACTGGTGTCACCCTAGTTAACACTGGCACTGGTGGCACCCTAGTTAACACTGGCACTGGTGGCACTCTAGTTAACACTGGCACTGGTGGCACCCTAATTAACACTGTGACTGGTGTCACCCTAGTTAACACTGGCACTGGTGGCACTCTAGTTAACACTGGCACTGGTGTCACCCTAGTTAACACTGGCACTGGTGGCACCCTAGCTAAGACTGGCACTGGTGTCACCCTAGTTAACACTGGCACTGGTGGCACCCTAGTTAACACTGGCACTGGTGGCACTCTAGTTAACACTGGCACTGGTGTCACCCTAATTAACATTGGCACTGGTGTTACCCTAGCTAACACTAGCACTGACTGGTGTTACCCTAGTTAACACTGGCACTGCTGTCACCCTAGTTAGCACTGGCACTGGTGTCACCCTAGTTAACACTAGCACTGATGCCACCCTAGTTAACACTGGCACTAACAGATGTCACCCTAGTTAAAACTAGCACTGACTGGTGCCACTCTAGTTAACACTAGCACTGACTGGTGTCACTCTAGTTGATACTAGCACATGTCACTCGAGTTAACACCAGCACTGATTGGTGTCACCCTAGTTAACACTAGCACTGATTGGTGTCACCCTAATTAACACTAGCACTGATTTGTGTCACCCTAGTTAACGCTAGCACTTATTTGTGCCGCCCTAGTTAACACTTGCACTGACAGGGTCACCCTAGTTAACACTAGCACTGACATGTGTCACCCTAATTAACACTAGCACTGACAGGTGTCACCCTAGTTAAGACTAGCAATGACTGGTGTCACTCTAGTTGACACTTGCACAATTGTCACCCTAGTTAACACTAGTACTGACTGGTGTCACTCTAGTTGACACTAGCTCTGACTGGTGACACCCTGATTAACACTATCACTGACAGGTGTCACCCTAGTTAACACTAGCCCTGACAGGTGTCACCCTAGTTAACACTAGCGCTGACAGGTGTCACCCTAGTTAACACTAGCACTGAGGTGTCACCTTAACATAGCACTGACAGGTGTCACCCTAGTTAACACTAGCACTGACAGTGTCACCCTAGTTAACACTTGCGCTGACTGATGACACCCTAGTTAACACTAGCACTGAGAGGTGTCACCCAAGTTAATACTAGTACTGATTGGTGTCACCCTAGTTAACACTAGCACTGACAGGTGTCACCATAGTTAACATTAGCACTGACAGGTGTCACCATAGTTAACACTAGCACTGACAGGTGCCACCCTAGTTACCACTAGCACTGACAGGTGTCACCCTAATTAACACTAGCACTGACAGGTGTCACTCTAATTGACACTAGCACTGACAGGTGTCACCCTAGTTAACACTAGCACTGACAGGTGTCACCCTAGTTAACACTAGCACTGACAGGTGTCACCCTAGTTAACACTAGCACTGACTGGTGTCACCCTAGTTAACACTAGCACTGACAGGTGTCGCCCTAGTTAACACTAGCACTGACAGGTGTCGCCCTAGTTAACACTAGCACTGAGTGGTGACACCCTAGTTAACGCTAGCACTGAGAGATGTCACCCTAGTTAATGCTAGCACTGACTGCTGACACCCTAGTTAACACTAGCACTGACAGGTGTCACCATAGCACTAGCACTGACAGGTGCCACCATAGTTAACACTAGCACTGACAGGTGTCACCCTAGTTACCACTAGCGCTGACAGGTGTCACCATAGTTAACACTAGCACTAACAGGTGTCACCATAATTAACACTAGCACTAACAGGTGTCACCATAGTTAACACTAGCACTGACAGGTGTCACCCTAGTTACCACTAGCACTGACAGGTGTCACCCTAGTTAACACTAACACTGACAGGTGTCACTCTAGTTAACACTAGCACTGACAGGTGACAGGTGTCACTGACTGGTGTCACCATAGTTAACACTAGCACTGACAGGTGTCACCATAGTTAACACTAGCACTGACAGGTGTCACCATAGTTAATACTAGCACTGTCGGGTGTCACCCTAGTTAACACTAGCACTGACAGGTGTCACCCTAGTTAACACTAGCACTGACAGGTGTCACTCTAGTTAACACTAGCACTGACAGGTGACAGGTGTCACTGACTGGTGTCACCATAGTTAACACTAGCACTGACAGGTGTCACCCTAGTTAACACTAGCACTGACAGGTGTCACCATAGTTAACACTAGCACTGACAGGTGTCGCCCTAGTTAACACGGGCCAGGAAAATTTTATTAGCCGATTGTCCTGCCATAATCTCTGGCTATATAGTGTGGCACTCATACACACACAATTATATATATATATGACGACTTGGGATTTTTTAAAAAATTGACATACGCATGTTTGGGGTCAAAAAATTTAATTCTTTACTGAGGGATGATGAAAAAATTACGTTTGTTTTGAATATAAGAATGAAGGATCACTACAGTAGGCCTACCGGTCTATGCTAGGCAGATCGTTCTCATATCGCTAACATATTTGTACAATGTGCAGCCTATTCTTAAGGTATTCTTAATGTTACTTTAGATGATAGCTTCAGTGAGGATTGTACTTGGTAGATTGTTCCACTCGTCTACCGCTCGATTAATTTATTAATGAAAGCCTTTCTAAATCAATGTTTGTCCAACTTGAACCCATTGTCTGGCGTTTTATTATGGTTAGATATTGAGGACTTGTGTACTACAGCTGATTTTCTCGATCTGAAAACATTTCGCCAGGCAGTGTTTTTCTCGCTTCACTACACTGTTTGTACACGAAGACGGTACAATATGAATTTCAAATAGATACCTAGGTGTTGCACTTGTGTCTAATTCCTCATCATGTTAGTATTGTATATAATTATTGTATTGGTTAGATATTCTAAGCACACTATAACTTCCACTTACATACTTCAGTCACATCTCCCCTTTCATTCTACTTTTGTAGTAAGAGTGCAGGTTCTGGGATCTCATTCTGTGGTATAAATCTTGGCAATTGGCACTGACAGGTAGTTTAAAAGGACGCGTGAGTAAACACCAGGAGAAATTTGTTATAAAAAGTTGATGAGTCTTATTCCGCAAGTTTAGGCACTGCTGTCTTGGCTTCAGATGTTTGCTTACCATGACTGTCAGATCTTTTTTCACGTTTGTATGATCAAGCTCTGAATTATTTAGTTGAAGATTAGAATTACAACAAATATGTATGTTAGACACAACGTTACGGTTATGGTACTTCATTAGAAGACATGCCGTCCATCAGGGAGTTCATCAACTTGTACAGAGACGAAGAGATGAATATGAGAGGATACAATATACAGTGGTTGAGGAGAGGTTCCTGAAACGTAGTGGGCCGTAAGCCACCTGGAGCAATGTGATAGCTTCTTAGGGTTTAGTAAGAATTATAGCCAATACTTTTGAGACTGAGATTGAACCTAAGTTTTCTGTGATAGTTTTGGTTGTGGCTGTCAATGCTTATTTTAGATTTAAGTGCACATTGTCTGTCTGCTGCTTTAGTAACAAGTTTGGCTCCAGAGAAGTTCATAGTGTTTATCTGTGTAGTTATATATTGTACATCCATTGTCTGTGTCATTCCTCTGGCAGGCATATCCGTGTTTTCTGATCCTTTGTGTTCAAGTCCCTGGAGGATTCGTCTGTATAATACTTCTCACACCCTCCACAGATTAGTAAACATCATGACCAATAATGCTGGCAACCCGATTACCTGCCTCAGACGAAATAGAGATGAGATTTCTAGAAGAGAATCCTACTAATCAGATTGGGGTGAGTTATAGCGCTTTATATATCAGAGAAAACTTGAAGTAGTGTACTTAAAAACAGATGTGAAGATAAAAGGAACAGATAGAGAATCTATCTGGTTAGAACATCTATGTGATGAAAAAAAATTGGATGTTATATCGACCCCTGATCTTGGAAAGCAAATAAGCGAGGCTTCTCTTCGGATGAAACTGTTAAGGCTACGCAGTAATGTACTATTGGGAATCTTATTTTTTACCCAAATTGTCTGGAATTCTTTGATGGAGAATTTATAGTCCAACGACTTCCAAGCTGTAATAATACAGAACTGTTCTTTAAGGAGATTGTAACTGAACCATTTAGAGGTAACAACCTGCTTGACCTGCTTTTGATAAATGAGAACCTTGTAAATAACCTGAAGATTCAGGATGAGCTTGGCACAAATAATTACAAATATATTACCTCTTTATAATAGCTGGGAATATGATAAGGATGATGCAGCAAAGGGTCCAGGTATTCGCGTTGTACATTATCTGGGCCTTCGGAACCACCTTTCTAGCACTGGCTGGGGTTACCTGGCTAGTGGTTCTATCGACGATGACTTAACAAACATTAATGAAGGCAACTGCTCATACGACTTTATTAGTCTAAATAATATACAGACTGCACAAAGTGCATATATTTTCCAGAGAGAAATTAAATCAAATAAAAATGAT